GGGGTACGGGGGAAGGATTGCATGAAGGGGATTGTAATCATGGCAATGAGATGATATACGATAGAATGAATGTAAAACTAATGTTCTCCCATGTAAACTAACACATAATTCTTAATAAAACATTAAAAAAAACAAAAAAAAACTCCAGCAGCACACAGCTTTCCAAGTAAAGGGCACTTGCCTATGGGGTATTAAAAAATTGAATTAAAAAAAAAAAAGGCATGAAAAACAGAAAAGACCAAAATGGATGCCAGAAGAAACTCTGAAACTTCCTCTTGCGCACAGAGAAGCTAAAACGAAGGTAAGAAATGATGAAGTAAAAATCCTGAACTGAAAATTACAAAGGGAAGTTTGAGAAGACAAAGTCCAATGTTATACTGAAATGTGCAAAGACCTGGGGTTAGAAGTACAGCCAGAATGCTCCTTAGAAGCTAGGATGTTGAGACTTTTTATCTTACTCTTTGAGCATTTTGGGGGGAAGCACCAGTCCCTGGAGAAAGACATCATGCTTGGTAAAATGGAGGCTCAACTAAAAGAGGAAGACTCCCAAAGAGATGGACTGATAAAATGGTAGCAGCAATGGGCTCAAATGTAACAATTATGAGGATGATGCAGGCCCGAGCAGAGTTTTGTTCTTTTGTGTAAAGGTATAGCAGTGTTTTGTTCTGTTGTGTAAGAACCCACTCAATGACAGCTAACAACATCATCTTTGAAAACAGTTGTCTTTGAAGGTGGGACTCATTATTTAAAGGGGATATTGACTGCAAACTGGTCAATTGTCAGGATACGTACTGAGGTGCAGAAGAGAAAAATGAGGTCCCTTTAATATCCTAGGAAATGTTAAATTACTGTGGCATAAAGATTTAAGTAATGTCAAATATTAATTTTATAGAGAATACTATCTAAAATGGTTATTATTTAAATGTTATGTATAAAACATGTCTGATTCCTTACTATATATATATATATATATATATATATACATCTATATATATATGGAATCTTGGCGTGCCTATCCACTGGAGCATGAAGTCAGTATAAACTCCAAGGTGGACTGTTTAAAAATTCACTGGCTGCTCCTTGGAAACACTATACAGGGTCACTATGAGTTGGAACTGACTTGACAGCACTTAACAACAACATAATATATAAGTATGTACACATATATACAGACATCAAAAACCAAATTTATTGCCATCAAGGTAATTCTGATTCATAGTGAACTTATACAGGTTTTCCAATACTGTAAACCTCTATGGGGGCAGACAGCCTCATCTTTCTCCTGTGGAGTGGCTGGTGGCTTTAAACTGATGACTTTGGGGTTAGCAGATAAGTTCTTACTCTATAGCACACCAGACTTCATAATTGCTTTCAAGCTCCCACTTCACATTAGACTTACTTGTGGATTAAACACACAGAATTTTAGTGTTGAATAAATGCAATGTAGTGAAACAGACAAATCCTTATACGCTTATAGAAGTAGCAGAAGTTATTCTCTTCATTTTGAATACATAATTTTATTGAAGTCTGTTTCTGGATATTGGTTTCGAACTTTGGTAAAGATGCTTATAGCCCTTATGATAATTAAGTAGAAAAGAATACTAATTTTAACTTATCAGAATACTTCCCTTGAGAACAGGTGATGAAAATTATTGGTTGGCTAGTGTAGTGGTTACGAATTGGGCTGCAAATCGAAAGGTCAGCAGTTCGAAACTACCAGCTGTTCCGCGGGAGAAAGATGAGGCATTCTGCTCCCGTAAAGATTTACAGCCTCGGAAACACTGTTCAGGGTCGCTATGGGTCAGAACCTACTTGACGGCACTTAACAACAACAACAACATTAAATTGGAGGGACATGACTACATCTTAACTTGTTGTTGTTAATTGACATCTTAAGTAGCATGCACTATTTTTGACTCCCATGGCAATTGCTTTCAATCCACCAATATTTTTAGTGTTGTCTCTATTCTTTTTTACTGTTTCAGTACTTAAACAATAAATTCCCTATTAATTTCAATGCTAAATAAAGATAAAATTTTGAGATTCCTAGAAAGATTAACTGAAAACCACTCATATTCTGCCTTAAAATATAGGGGTTTACTAATAGCCACTTTCTAAACTAATTATTAATGAGTATGATAAAACACAAACTGAAAAAACATTAATAAAATATAAATTGATTATACCAAAGAAAAAACAAAGCCAGTTTCTATTTAGTTGATTCTGACTCATGGTGATCTTATGTGTTTCGGAGTAAACGATATACCGTAAGATTTTCACTGGTTATCATTTTTTTTAAAAAAAAAAAAGGCAAAACTTCTTTTCCAGAACCTCTGGATAGATTCAAATGACAAACCTTTTGGTCTATTTAACCTTTTGTGCCATTAACTTGAGACTCCAATACTAATGCAATAAAGGACCAAATTATGGTTACAGTCTATGCAACAAGAGACTGCAATAATCTATTATTAAAACAATAATTACTACAATTCAACATTGTCTAAGGAACCCAAGCTTAAATATAAAATGTGCTTAGAAATGTATAGTCAAAATACTAAAAATATACTGTATTAAGTTTACCTTCTCTATGAATTCAAAAACTTTCTTGTACTTTTATCCACTTTTGATTTTATTTAAAAACATTTTACCAAAAATAAATAAATAAATAAATATTGACCACATTTCAGTACAAACTAAAATCCCAGAAATACCTTAACCGAAAAAAAAAAAAATAAAAGCAAGATGAAAAAATATGTAAGAATAAAAATATAATTGTGCATTATACAATCAACTTACAATAAGGAAGAGTTGGATGAGAAGTCATTCTTCTGACATTATTAATGGATTTTTTAATCATCTGTTAACAAAGAAAAGGTTTTTACAGTTAATAGAAAAAACAGAATTAAATATTTAAATTGAAATTCAATTTTTTTTGTGTGATTTCATTTACTATTATGAGAGCTAAAAGAAAAATAAAGATGATAACAGAAACTAAACTTAATAGACCAACTCTTACATTTAAGTGCACATGCATTTTCTGAATCACTGACTATGATCTAAGAATAAATTCTCCTCAAGAATTTATTCTTACGTCCTTTCTTGACAATTCTTTTCTTATCTTATTAAATTTACTGGAATAATCCTGAATAGTGTAAGGTTAAAAAGACAGGTAGAAGCATGTGAAGAAAAGAAAACATAAGCAGACGGTTGTATAACATTTTTAACTGATTGTTTAGAACTGCTTATTGAGTTATTTAAAAAATAATTAATTGAATGATTTCATGTAGTCTTTCAAATAACACTAAAGTTATACAAAAAAATCAAAGGAAAAATTTTAATTTATTTATATAGCACCATGACTTAAGTTATATGTAATCACAGGTTTTTAGTATTAGTGTCATATATATATATTTTTGTTTTTCTCTGAATTTTAAATTGTTCAATTTATCTAAAGTTGTAGGGATGCTGGAGGTTAGTAGGGAAGAAAGGGCCAGCAGAGCTGGAGAAGGATTATAAAAAACTGAAATGGTATACCAGGAAACAATTATGCTCCAAAATAGCAGAAACTGATAACAGAAAGTATTACTTTTGTTCTTAGTATTGATCATTCAATAAAATAAAAATTGTTGTGGTTGTTAAATGCAGTAGTGTCAATTCTGATTCATAGCGACCCTGAATAGGGTTTCTGAAGAATGGCTGGTGGATTAAAACCATCAACCTCATGGATAACAGTCAAGGAATTAGCCTACGGCACCACACTAAGTCTCCAAATAATAAGAAAATAAATTGATGTTGTCCTAAAGTGCCGTCAAGTTGGTTCTGACTCACAGTCACCCTGTACAGAGTTTCTCAGGAGTACCTAATGAGTTTGAGCAAACAATGTTGTGTTTCAATTGTTGTTGTTGTTGTTGTTAGGTGCCATCGAGTCGGCACCGACTCATAGCCACCCCATGCACAGCAGAACGAAACAACGTCCGATACTGAGCCAACCCCACTACTGATGCAACACTTGAGTTCATTGATGCCACCTGGCCAATCCATCTCGTTGGGGGTCTTCCTCTTTTTCTCTGACCCTCCAACTTACCCAGCATGATATCCTTCTCTAGCAACTGTTCCATCCTGACAACATGTCCAAAGCATGAGAGACGAAGTTTGGCTATCTTGGCCTCTAAGGAGCACTCTGGCTGCACTTCTTCCAAAATATATCTATTGGTTCTTTTGGCAGTCCATGGCACTTTCAGTATTCTCCTCCAACACCACAATCAAGTATTCTATGATCTTCTTTATTCACTGTTCAGCTTTCACATCCATATGAAGTCATTGAAAATACCATGGGCTTAGGTCAGGTGCACCTTAGTCCTCAAGCTGACATCTTTGCTGTTCAACACTTAAAAAAAGTTCCTGTGCAGCAGATTTGCCTAATGCAATAGGTCATCTGATCTCTTGACTGCTGCTTCCGTGAGTGTTGATAGTTGATCCAAGAAGAATGAAGTCCGTAACAACTTCAATCTTTTCTCCATTGATAAGAATGTTGTTTATTGGTCCAGTGGTGAGGATTTTTGTTTTCTTGACATTGAGATGTAATCCAGATCGAAGGTTGTGCTCCTTGATCTTCATCAGTAAATGTTTTAAGTCCTCTTCACTTTCAGCAAGCAAGGTTGTATCATT